AAATATTCGCCTAAATAAAGAAGCGCAGAAGAGATGTATTTTTGCTGGTTTCTTTGTTAGTTGTTTAACGCCACACTCAGCAATGTCCCAGCCATATGGCGGCGGTCTGTAAATAATCAAGTCTGGACCAGACAATCCAGTGATCAACAGCATGAGCATCGATCTACGCAATTAGGATACGATGACATGTGCAGTTGATAGGTAGTGTTTGCTTGTTTTGTTTGTTGTTTAACGCAGCACTCAGTGATAGTCCAGCTGTATTGCAGCGGTCTGTAAATGGTCGAGTCTGGACCAAACAATTCGGTGATCAACATCATGAGCATCTATTTACTCAGCTGGGATACGATGACATGTGCAAGGACAGGTTGACCGCTGTAGTAAAGTGAATTCATTCATAGATCAATCCAACACGTCCTCAGTTGTAACAAATATCTCCCAACTTCTCATCTCAACAGCTTCTCATAGAACTAACAACACCTCCCACCCCCCCACCCCACCCCACCCCGCACCCGCACCCGCTACTGCTCACAAGTTTACACGATCAATCTGTCTGATTATACAACCTGCATACAATTCTACTGGTAAACTTGCCTTCCTCAACCCTGCACTTGGTAACTTCAAGCCCTGGGCTGTCACACTCTTCCCCGTGAAGGTCCGGGTTAGAATATTGGCCTCCAGTAACCCGTGCTTGTCGTAAGAGGTGACTAACGGGATCGGGTGTTCAGGCTCGTTGACTTGGTCGACACATGTCATCGGTTCCCAATTTCGAAGATCGATGCTCATGCTGTTGATCACTAGATTGTCTGGTCCCGATTATTTACAGACCGCCGCCATATAGCTGGAATATTGCTGACTGCGGCGTAAAACTAAACTCACTCACCCTCAAACAAGCCGAGGCCTCTTTCTCCACATATCGTGATCAGATATTTCTGCAGTCGGACCGAGCTGAGCGTATTTCCCGAGAATACAATGTGGGCGAGCTTATTATATATGGGGGTGACAGTCAGTCCAGCCATTCACAGAATGACGTACTTATTAAATGTTACTCTTACCAAGAAACTAAACGAACTTAAACATCATAAATATTAATTAGGGAAATGTTTAAACAATATGCATGTATTGTATTTCTCTTCTGTCGGTCAACTGCCAGGTACCTCCTACCCCTGCGGGATTATGTTACCTGTTTCAAGGAAGTGACGGTGTCGCGCGTAGATTGGGGGTCGTTTTGTTCAAGCTGCAGTGTCAGTCTGCATATGACCTTGCAGTAACAGCTGTTGAATTGACCCAGATAGCAGTCATAAATCGAGAATTGAATACCGTCCTGAATATGCCTCATTGTGTACATTAACAGTTTGGTGAAAGTTTCATTAAACTATGGAATCCAGGAAGGAACATTATCGCGTTCCGCCCTTTCAAAAAGAAACAAAACGTGAAAATCAACAGTGACAATGTGACGTTTTGGCCATTTATTGCATCGTCACTTTGTCCCGTTGTCGCGCATTGGATCATACTATTGTTTTTGATTTCACTAAAGGGCGAAATTGCAACAACGCGTAAATACTCCTTTGGGGATTGAATGCATAGGGCCCTGAACATGAACTTGCGAACTTGTTATGAGTTACTGGGGCGGTGGGGTAGTCTCGTGGTGATGGCGTTCGCTCGTCACGCTGAAGACCTGGGTTCGATTCCTTACATTGGCACGATATGTGAAGCCCATTTCTGGTGTTTCCGCCGTGATATTGCTGGAATATTGCTAAAAGCGGCGTAAAACCATACTCACTCACTCACTCTGGTGTTCCCCGCCGTGATATTGCTGGAATATTGCTAAAAGCGGCGTAAAACTCACTCATTCTATGAGTTACTGTATTTTCGCATGTTGATGATCAGTAACTCTCGGTGGAGTACTTGACTCTCGGTGCAGTCGGCAACTTTCAGGATTTCGGTGCGGTTGGGTAGCCTAGTGGTTGAAGTGTTCGCTCGTCACGCCGAAGACCAGGGTTCGATTCCCCATACGGATACCATGTGTGAAGCCCATCTTTAATGTCCCCAGTTTTGATATTGCTTGAGGGGCGGTGGGGTAGCCAAGGGGTTAAAGCGTTGGCTCGTCACGCCAGAAACCCGGATTCGAATCCCCACATGGGTACAATGTGTGAAGCCCATTTCTAGTGTCCCCGCCGTGATATTGCTGGAATATTGCTAAAAGCGGCGTAAAACCAAACTCAGTCAGTCAGTCAGTGATATTGCTGGAATGATGTTAAAGCGGCATAAAACCAGATTCACTCACTCACTCACTGGATTGCATGACGTGGTTTCATGTGTCACGATATCAACCTCTCGGGCTTCTGGTCAAGTCTCAGTAAGTCACAGACAATCTGCTATTGTTGGAGTGCTTCTGACTGACGCGTAATGGAAGGTCATGGTGAACGAATTCTTGGGTTTACTGATTACTATGACGATGCTCTCATTCAGCCAGGAAGTATTTCTTACATCTGTCTGACAAAGACGTGATTTAACCTCACATGTGTGCTTTCAGTTTCCGTGCTGTCCCATTTACATTTTGTAGGCTTTCACCATCCCTCGACGACAACGTTCTTGTTTATGAAACCATGGTCACGGAAACATGTTAAATTGGAATATTGACAAAATACATTATTGTATTTCTGCGCACGTTTTCAATGCAAGAGGTTTGCCATACCATCTAAAATGGAACACAAATCTGACAATCCAGAGACACACAGTAAACTATATACAGAGCCAAACCAATACGACTGCATACAGAGAAAACCCAGTAAACCTACATACAGTGACAAACCTGTACACCTATATACAGAGACAACCCAGTACACCTACATACAGAGACAACCCAGTACACCTACATACAGTGACAACCCAGTACACCTACATACAGTACACCTACATACAGAGACAACCCAGTACACCTATATACAGAGACAACCCAGTACACCTACATACAGTGAAAACCCAGTACACCTACATACAGAGAAAACCCAGTACACCTACATACAGTACACCTACATACAGAGACAACCCAGTACTCCTACATACAGTGACAACCCAGTACACCTACATACAGTACACCTACATACAGAGACAACCCAGTACACCTACATACAGTGACAACCCAGTACACCTGCATACAGTACACCTACATACAGAGACAACCCAGTACACCTACATACAGTGACAACCCAGTACACCTACATACAGAGAAAACCCAGTACACCTACATACAGAGAAAACCCAGCACACCTAGAAACAGGGTCAACCCAGTACACCTATATACAGAGACAACCCAGTAGACCTACATACAGAGACAACCCAGTACCCCTACATACAGAGAAAACCCAGTACACCTACATACAGTGACAACCCAGTACACCTACATTCAGTACACCTACATACAGAGATAACCCAGTACACCTATATACAGTGACAACCCAGTACACCTACATACAGACTCAAAGCAATACACCTAGATATAGTGACAACCCTGTACACCTACATACAGAAACAGCACAGTACACCTACATACAGAGACAACCCAGTACACCTAGATAGAGAGACAACTCAGTACATCTACATACAGAGACAACCTAGTACACCTACATAACTGACAACCCAGTACAACTACATACACTGACAACCAAGTACACCAACATTCACTGACAACCCAGCACACCAACATACAGTGACAACCCAGTACACCTAGATACACACACAACCCAGTACACCAACATACAGTGACAACCCACTACACCTACATACAGTGACAACCCAGTACACCTATATACAGTGGCTACATAGTACACCTACATGCAGTGACTACATAGTACACCTACATACAGTGACAACCCAGTACACCTACATACAGTGACTACATAGTACACCTACATACAGTGACTACATAGTACACCTACAACTTATATCTTATATTTGAGATTATACCTTCTCAGTAAAATACGGATTCTTGTAGTTCTGTTAGGCTGAGTCCCATCCGGGATTCGAACCCACATCAATCGACAGCAAACAAAGGCACCGATCTAATCATGCAGAAAAGAAAAGTCTGACAACTGGTAGTATAGATCACGTACATTTCTGTATTCAAAGATTCAGGAAATTCGTTTAGCTGGACAGAATGTGAGAAAGCGCAATTGTTTGGGGAAACCAGAGATTTTCACCTTCCTGGTTAGGGGCAAGAGGGAAGTGAAGAGGAAGTGTATTTTTGTAATAAGAAGGGTGCTAGACGTATAACATGCCGTGATTACACAAGAAGGTTTTGGATGCTCGCCAGCCGCATCGGACATCGGAGATAGGGATGATTCTTGCTCCGAATAATCGTGTCTTCTGTATACAGTATAAACAGAATTCCATGTAGAAGGTCCACCATATTGTAAGTACATCACACAGAGACTTTCACTAGCGTAAGAACCTTCACAGAACGTAGTCAAGATTTCTGAACCTTGACGCGTCATTCCTGACTCTCAGCTATATCTTGTGAAGTTCAGATTTACACATTTCTCAAAAAACATGAACAGATCACTTGATTCCATATCCAGTGTGTGTCATTATGTTATTATCAACTTCCTGTGAAGTATACACATGTAAACCATAACGTAAGTACTTCCCCGTTGTAAAAGCTGATAATTTATTTATTGACTTTTCACTTTGTGCTGGTTCATTAGAGTTCAAACCTTCATACCAGGGTGTCCAGTTTTTGTGAATTTTGAAGCTTGCTTCCTTTTTAAATGAATCTGTATCGAAACGTCGCACTCACGAATAAAAAAGAAGTTGTTATCCATAAAGTTTGTTCTATATTGGACTTCTTAACTTCTAAAATGCCACTCAAAGGAGTTATATATTGTTGATTTATTATTTACATACTACATCATTTGAGAATATGAATGCACCACTACATTCCACAATATGCTACATATTCAGTGTCCGTCATTATTATGTTCTCAGTTTCCTGGGGAGTATACACTTGCACATCCCTAAGCTGCCTAAGTCCCCCTTGTCTTCGTGTTTTGGTTATGATCGTAATCTATTATTATAGTATGTTAACAAAATATCACTTAATTGTTCTGTTCTGTTTCAGTGAAGAGAATGACTGTCTGGTTGATAATGTGGACAGCACTCATGGTAATGGCTACAGAAGGTAAGACATTGTACTGTTACCATTGCTGACCGCCTCCGTGGTGTAGTGGTTAGAGCGTCCACCCGGAGAGCGGAAGGTCGCGGGTTTGATCCCCGACCGCCTCATACCATACGTTAAAATATGGAACTTGTTGGTCCCTGCCTGGCGCTCGGCATTAATGGGTACAACAAGGACTGGTCGGCTCGGAGTATAATGTGTCTGAGTGGGGTACTCATGCTTCACTGCGGCGTGGTATCTCAGTGGGCTAGTACTGTAAAACCAGCTTAATTCTGGGCTAGTACAAGCAGTAGCACATACACATACACACGCATGCACGTCGTCATATGAGCGAAATATTCTCAAGCACGACGTTAAACCCAATTTCACTTCAACTGACTAGCTAAAACAAAGGTTTGACCTCCTTGTTGGGGTAGGGTCATAGGTTGGAACCCAACACGCTACATCCTGCTCCATACTTCGTGGAGTAACTGCTGTATGAATGTCAAATATTTTTTGGGTATTTTTCTATCATGCACTAGTATACAGGTATAACAATTTTGGGTCCAGACTCGATTATACCCAATTTTTTTGTGTTTTTTGTCCGCGTGGCTTTTGTCCTGCTCCCAACAATTTTGTAGTGCTTCAAAACCGTACAAGTGTTGCTTATCTTTATTAAGAATAGAACCCTTGAATATTCGGATTAGAAATGTCTTCAGCAACCTATGCTTGTCGTAAGAGGCGCCTAACAGGACCGGGTGGTCAGGCTCGCTGACTTGGTTGACACATGTCATCGTATCCCAGTTGCGTTGATCGATGTTCATACCGTTCATCATTGGATTGTCTGGTCCAGACACGATGGTGTACAGACCGCCGCCATATAGGTGTGTGCAGTGTTGAACAAGAACAATAACAAGAAAAAAATAGAAAAATCATAGGGACAACCACCACTCTGTACCGCTAAACGTTCAGGTATTATAGGTCTTGTAACTCATTTGCTATAGTTAAGTATCCTGTGTTTTTGTTGAAGAACAAACTCTTTATTGCCATTACGCAAAACAATGAAATAATATTGTCACAATAACTTTCAGCTGTTCCATGCCATTACACCCATCACTGTTCAGACTGTGACAGAGAGACGGGGGATTGCCACACTGAGTGTGACACTGGGTATTACGATCGACAATGCAACTCTACATGCAGCAGAAACTGTAGGAATAACACATGCGTGCTGTCAGAACATGGTAGCGGTAACTGCACTGAGGGTTGTGTGCCAGGTTATTCTGGCATTGGCTGCAACATACCATGTGACAGTCCAGGAGGTAGCTGTACAGCATGTCCAGGTGGTTGTGATGGAGGATATTGTCAGCTGGGGTCATCCTGTGTGTCTGGATGTGTAGACTCCTACTACGGGACTGTCTGTAAAGCTGGTAGGTACAGCTAGGTTATTATTCTATCATGAAGACTATGTTGTATACTCCCCAGGGCTTTGAGTCCACGGAGAAATGACACTCCTACCCTTAGTTCATTGTATTCAGAAACTATACTCAAAGGCAAAATTGATGACACAAACAACAAACACCAACAGTATTAAGTTTCACTCTTTGTTGTTTACAATAAGTTTTGCGTAATTGTAAATTAGAATTTTAAGTATCTCCAGCTGATTCTGTTCAATGTTCTCCCAGGGAACGAGTTATTTATATTAATTAACTTGTTTTGTAAAGGTACTACAGTGGGACTATCTGTGGGACTGTCCGGAGTTTCCTCAATCATCTTCCTGGTCATGTGCTGCAAGTGTTGTCAACGCTTAAGGCAGAACAGGTGCGCGCGTCCTCGCATTGTTTATCGCAAGAACTGACACTAACGTGAATGTCCCAGTCAGTGACAATAACGTGGGGTCCTACCACGACGACGTGAGGTGTCGTCCCTGACATCAGCTGCTCTGTAATGTACTGTCAGCATTTTGCTGTGTTGAGTCCCCTCCCACCACTTGTCACTATAGCTCCCTACAATCAAACCTTTCCTTCATCATAAACTGAACTGATCGTACTGTCTGCATGTTGAGGTGTTGAGTCCGTCCCACCACTTGTCACTATAGCTCCCTAAAATCAAACATTGTCTTCATCATAAACTGAACTGATCGTACTGTCTGCATTTTGCTGTGTTGAGTCCCTCCCACCACTTGTCACTATAGCTCCCTACAATCAAACCCTTTCTTCATCATAAACTGAACTGATCGTACTGTCTGCATGTTGCTGTGTTGAGTCCCTCCCACCACTTGTCACTATAGCTCCCTACAATCAAACATTTTCTTCATCATAAACTGAACTGATCGTACTGTCTGCATGTTGCTGTGTTGAGTCCGTCCCACCATTTGCCACAATAGCTCTCTACAATCAAACCCTTTCTTCATCATAAACTGAACTAATCGTACTGTCTGCATTTTGCTGTTTTGAGTCCGTCCCACCACTTGTCACTATAGCTCCCTACAATCAAACATTTCCTTCATCATAAACTGAACTGATCGTACTGTCTGCATGTTGCTGTGTTGAGTCCGTCCAAACCACTTGTCACTATAGCTCCCTACAATCAAACCTTTCCTTCATCATTAACTGAACTAATCGTACTGTCTGCATGTTGCTGTGTTGAGTCCCTCCCACCACTTGTCACTAAAGCTCCCTACAATCAAACCTTTCTTCATCATAAACTGAACTGATCGTACTATCTGCATGTTAATTGCTGTGTTGAGTCCGTCCCACCACTTGTCACTTTACCTCCCTACAATCAAACATTTTCTTCATCATAAACTGAACTGATCGTACTGTCTGCATGTTGCTGTGTTGAGTACATCCCACCACTTGTAACTATAGCTCCCTACAATCAAACCTTTCCTTCATCATAAACTGAACCGATCGTACTGTCTGCATGTTGCTGTGTTGAGTCCCTCCCACCACTTGTCACTATAGCTCCCTACAATCAAACCCTTTCTTCATCATCAACTGAACTAATCGTACTGTCTGCATGTTGCTGTGTTGAGTCCCTCCCACCACTTGTAACTATAGCTCCCTACAATCAAACCTTTTCTTCATCATAAACTGAACCGATCGTACTGTCTGCATGTTGCTGTGTCGAGTCCCTCCCACCACTTGTCACTATAGCTCCCTATAATCAAACCTTTCCTTCATCATTAACTGAACTGATCGTACTGTCTGCATGTTGCTGTGTTGAGTCCCTCCCACCACTTGTCACTATAGCTCCCTACAATCAAACCCTTTCTTCATCATAAACTGAACCGATCGTACTGTCTGCATGTTGCTGTGTCGAGTCCCTCCCACCACTTGTTACTATAGCTCCCTATAATCAAACCTTTCCTTCATCATTAACTGAACTATTCGTACTGTCTGCATGTTGCTGTGTTGAGTCCCTCCCACCACTTGTCACTATAGCTCCCTACAATCAAACCTTTCTTCATCATAAACTGAACTGATCGTACTATCTGCATGTTAATTGCTGTGTTGAGTCCGTCCCACCACTTGTCACTTTACCTCCCTACAATCAAACATTTTCTTCATCATAAACTGAACTGATCGTACTGTCTGCATGTTGCTGTGTTGAGTACATCCCACCACTTGTAACTATAGCTTCCTACAATCAAACCTTTCCTTCATCATAAACTGAACTGATCGTACTGTCTGCATGTTGCTGTGTTGAGTCCCTCCCACCACTTGTCACTATAGCTCCCTACAATCAAACCCTTTCTTCATCATCAACTGAACTAATCGTACTGTCTGCATGTTGCTGTGTTGAGTCCCTCCCACCACTTGTAACTATAGCTCCCTACAATCAAACCTTTCTTCATCATAAACTGAACCGATCGTACTGTCTGCATGTTGCTGTGTCGAGTCCCTCCCACCACTTGTAACTATAGCTCCCTACAATCAAACCCTTTCTTCATCATAAACTGAACTGATCGTACTGTCTGCATGTTGCTGTGTTGAGTCCCTCCCACCACTTGTCACTATAGCTCCCTACAATCAAACATTTTCTTCATCATAAACTGAACTGATCGTACTGTCTGCATGTTGCTGTGTTGAGTCCGTCCCACCATTTGCCACAATAGCTCTCTACAATCAAACCCTTTCTTCATCATAAACTGAACTAATCGTACTGTCTGCATTTTGCTGTTTTGAGTCCGTCCCACCACTTGTCACTATAGCTCCCTACAATCAAACATTTTCTTCATCATAAACTGAACTGATCGTACTGTCTGCATGTTGCTGTGTTGAGTCCGTCCAAACCACTTGTCACTATAGCTCCCTACAATCAAACCTTTCCTTCATCATAAACTGAACTGATCGTACTGTCTGCGTGTTGCTGTGTTGAGTCCGTCCAACCACTTGTCACTATAGCTCCCTACAATCAAACCTTTCCTTCATCATAAACTGAACTGATCGTACTGTCTGCATGTTGCTGTGTTGAGTCCGTCCAAACCACTTGTCACTATAGCTCCCTACAATCAAACCTTTCCTTCATCATTAACTGAACTAATCGTACTGTCTGCATGTTGCTGTGTTGAGTCCCTCCCACCACTTGTCACTATAGCTCCCTACAATCAAACCTTTCTTCATCATAAACTGAACTGATCGTACTATCTGCATGTTAATTGCTGTGTTGAGTCCGTCCCACCACTTGTCACTTCACCTCCCTACAATCAAACATTTTCTTCATCATAAACTGAACCGATCGTACTGTCTGCATGTTGCAGTGTTGAGTCCCTCCCACCACTTGTCACTATAGCTCCCTACAATCAAACCCTTTCTTCATCATCAACTGAACTAATCGTACTGTCTGCATGTTGCTGTGTTGAGTCCCTCCCACCACTTGTAACTATAGCTCCCTACAATCAAACCTTTCTTCATCATAAACTGAACCGATCGTACTGTCTGCATGTTGCTGTGTCGAGTCCCTCCCACCACTTGTCACTATAGCTCCCTATAATCAAACCTTTCCTTCATCATTAACTGAACTAATCGTACTGTCTGCATGTTGCTGTGTTGAGTCCGTCCAAACCACTTGCCATTATAGCTCTCTACAATCAAACCTTTTCTTCATCATAAACTGAACTGATCGTACTGTCTGCATTTTGCTGTGTTGAGTACATCCCACCACTTGTAACTATAGCTCCCTACAATCAAACCTTTCCTTCATCATAAACTGAACTGATCGTACTGTCTGCATGTTGCTGTGTTGAGTCCCTCCCACCACTTGTCACTATAGCTCCCTACAATCAAACCTTTCTTCATCATAAACTGAACTGATCGTACTGTCTGCATTTTGCTGTGTTGAGTCCCTCCCACCACTTATCACTATAGCTCCCTACAATCAAACATTTCCTTCATCATAAACTGAACTGATCGTACTGTCTTCATGTTGCTGTGTTGAGTCCCTCCCACCACTTGTCACTATAGCTCCCTACAATCAAACCTTTCCTTCATCATAAACTAAACTGATCGTACTGTCTGCATTTTGCTGTGTTGAGTCCCTCCCACCACTTGTCACTATAGCTCCCTACAATCAAACCTTTCCTTCATCATAAAGTGAACTGATCGTACTGTCTGCATGTTGCTGTGTTGAGTCCCTCGCACTACTTGTCACTATAGCTCCCTACAATCAAACCTTTTCTTCATCATAAACTGAACTAATCGTACTGTCTGCATGTTGCTGTGTTGAGTCCGTCCAAACCACTTGCCATTATAGCTCTCTACAATCAAACCTTTTCTTCATCATAAACTGAACTAATCGTACTGTCTGCATTTTGCTGTGTTGAGTCCTTCCCACCACTTGTCACTATAGCTCCCTACAATCAAACCTTTCCTTCATCATAAACTGAACTGATCGTACTGTCTGCATGTTGCTGTGTTGAGTCCATCCCACCACTTGTCACTATAGCTCCCTACAATCGAACCCTTTCTTCATCATAAACTGAACTGGTCGTACTGTCTGCATGCTGCTGTGTTGAGTCCCTCCCACCACTTGTCACTATAGCTCCCTACAATCAAACCCTTTCTTCATCAGAAACTGAACTGATAGAACTGTTCTAAACGTTCCCCTAGCTCTAGATTAAAAAGGTTTTAAGAATGGAACAATAATATTTATGCATATTAAATCAGAATGTCTAGGGTCATGTAATTCGAACTGATAAATCTGTTTATAAGTTAGTACTCTTTAAAAGCCTCTCGATACATTTTCATGGGAACCCGTGAAGGTCCGGGTTAGAACTGGCCTTCAGTAATCCATGCTTGTCGTAAGAGGCGACTAACGGGATTGCTGCGATATACCCATAATATAGTACTGTTATACCTGGAAATCAATATTTAACAATTTTTATGTTTATTTAGATTTGGATACTAATGGCATGTGCTTATATTGTTCTTACTTCACTAGGGGCCCTGGGTTAGCCCAGCGGTTAAAGCGTTCGCTTGTCACGCCGAGGACCCGGGTTCGATTCACCACATGGGTACAATCTGTGACGCCCTTTTATGGTGTTCCCCGTGATATTGCAGAAAGCAGCGTAAAACCTTACTCACTCACTCACTCTTACTTCACAGTGTCACCAACAAAACAGAGATGTGCAACAACGTTGCCGAGATGGGTGGTGCCACTGTACAGGAGCTGGAATGGTAAACTGAGATTCCACTGACAGACATGACCCTGGCTTCTGGGTCAAGGTCATCTGGAGGGAACTGCGGGGCTGGAGGTGAAGCAGCAGATGTAGCGGGTGACGTTTATGACGTCGCAGATGGAGGACAACGCGGATTTGCTGCTGTTATTGACAACACATACTCTATGCTTAAAAGCAGATTATTTTGAAAAGATCTTGATATGAGTAATGCCAATGTTAATTATGTAACGTCTGGTTTGATCTACTGCCCCAATTATTGAGCGTCCACACAGAGAAGGGACTGCCAGCGTTTCCTGCTCATAGTTATTGTATACTGAAATATGTCCAAACATCATATGAGCTGATATCCTAAGCAGTGATGACTTAGTAGGCCTGCAACTATAACTGATGATTCTGGGAATGGTCGTTCGATGCATAATTACAACGGAAACGCCCTTCGAGGAAATGATGTGAAATGAAATTTCAGAAGAAATAAAGCAGAAAATCTCTGTCCTGATTTAACTCACATCTCAAACCGTAACGTTTAAAGAACGTTGCATATAGGTATGTTGATACCTTTTGTAAGGAAATAATCCCACACAGGGCTGGCCAGCATGGAGCATAGTTTCATTGTCAGTGATGTTTATATATTCACAGCCTAGGAACATTTTAGTACATCTTTATGTCAGCATACAGATGAACATACTACAAGCTTTGGGTTAAAGGTCACATAAACCCTAGGGGGTAAAAATACATAAATCACTAACTCGCATCGTTATAAATGAAACCCTGTCATTAAAACTACTCATTTCGACCTTTAATTGACTTAAATCGACCTTTTTGACAACAGTGCACAATTCTCACCCGCGAACGAAATTTCATACAATCAGAGCGGCGCGACTCTGTGACGTCATATGAGGAATAGCTTGGAGGGCCTGTGCAGAATTCATCTACATTTTAGGGGTTAAATTATCTTGTTTACAGGCTTGTATAAACCTGAAATCGTGACAATTGTTGTGGAAAATGAAAGCTATATGTTCTCACAATCTACTGTCATTTAATTTTGTCTCCTGCTTTGCCTAGTTTTCGAGTTACAACTTGTTTTCATAGACGATTCTGTCAAAATCGATTGGTGTCGTTAGGCCCTATTTGTATAATGACTGATCCAAATTGATCCTATTTCTGTGTTTTTTTACCTCGATATTTAATCATGTCATGTAAAAATCTGTTTGTATTCTCAAAACAGTGTCGGCCCATAAGTTTTCACATGCAATACAGCAATTAATACTCCCTTGTTGTAACCCGTGTTAGGTGGTATAAACCTACACATGTTATTTGTCATCATTCACTTGATGGTCAGTTAATGAATTTATAACAGGTATAATTAGTGGTAACACACTTAAATTACCCGACAAAGGTTCCCATTTGGCATTTCTTGTGTCTGGAGTAAATATTCAACATTATAAACATCGATCAAAGGATTAACCGATAACACGCTGATTGATTAATTACTTTTATCTTACACAGCGGAATTGTCAAAAGGTAGTGTTTATGTATGTAGATTTACTAATCTATACTGAATACACTCTGTCGTGTCGGTGTCTGCGTAAAAACAACGTCCTTCTTTCAAAGGATTAACCGGCAATACATTGATTGATTGCCCATTATTGGCTAACTAAATTACTGTTTTTAAAGAAAGGCGGACATTATGCAATTACTTGCCAGGTGTGCTATCTTGGGTGACCAATGAGACTATACACCAATACCTGAAAAGATTTATCACTTTTTCGTATATTAAACTGTTAAAAGACACATCATTTGGAACAGTTTTGTGGATATTGATGGATACATTCCTCGAACAAGGTAATGGCCTGATATTGTTCCTATAACTTTAATCTGTTTTAATTTTAATATTTGCATTTTGTTTTTATTCATTTGTCGTAGCATTCAACAGAATCATTGTTTTCGCCGTGAAGTGTAATGAGACAGACAACATGCACTAGGGTGTGTGTGCGAATTATGATTCACATTGGCAAACTATAAAATGTCTAGATATTACAGTTCTGTTATAAATTCACTATAAGTATCAGCAGATCGTCTGCTTTTTATTTAGTTTCAAAATGCATACAAGTATGATAATAAACTAATTAGGATTATAAGACCAAATATAAAGACGCACATTGACTAGTATCTACATACTGGTGAGTGGACATTAACCATGGGAATGTAGCAAGAAATTTATCGCGCAGTATTGTGACTTCGGCCCCCACCTCGCTTCCGTGGAAGAAATCGTTATGTTATAAGTTGTGTCATTCAAAATCCGTTTGGTTATGATTCCAATACATATTTAACTACGAGTAGAAAGTAGTCTTGATTTTCTAACTTGATGAAAACAAACTATAATCTCATTAATTGTAACAGATTTTTTTATTTTTAAAAATGGCGGCGCCCTCTCGGGAACATCCGCCAGTCTGAGGATAAATGGCATTTAGGTTTGTTTCCACCGAGTTACAAAATCAAAACTACTTTCTACTGGTAGTAAAATATGTATTTTATTGATGGCCAATAGGATTTTGCATGACAAAGCGTATAACATAACAATTTCTCTCGTGGCAGCGAGGTGGGTGTCAATATAATACTACTTACAATATTATTGTTACTTCGACCACAACCTCACTTCCGAGGAAGAAATCGTTATGTTACAAGTTGTGTCATAGAAAATCTTTATGGTCATCAATCATATGCATATTTTACTACAAATAGTAAGTAGTTTTGATTCTTTAACTTCCGTGAAGCGATCTGAACACAAGTAAGATATCGTTTCAGGCTTCCACAACGCTCGCTTCGCACTCACAAACATAACCCATTTAGCACGAACTGCGGGGTCCTGTGGAAATCTGTGCATGGGGACACCATCGCCCGACCCCTAGGAGCAATTGACGAGAAAGCAACGATTCGGCATGTCGTCGTTGATGTCGAGAAATCATCAAAATGATGAGCGTGCTACACATTTTCTATACAACTAACTGAAAATCGTCCCTCATATGACGTCACTGCAGTGCTCTGGCGACAGAGTTACGTAACCTGTCTGTGGTTTCGTTGGCGGGCGAGAGGGAAGCAGGCGACTTTTTGGCAACATTTAATCGCTCGGTATTAAATAACCACAAGTTTTTAAAGAATAAATTTGGTGTTCCGCATAAGACTAACCACAAATCTTTCATATGTAATGGTTAAAAGAGTAACAAAAAACAAAGTTTAGTGGTTCTTTAAGCAATAAATACGTTATCTTGTTATTTTCTATTACCCATTCTTACCTTTACCAGATATCGCTTACAGGACAATGTGGTATGATATGTGTTAATATCGTTATAAAAAGTAGCTTATGTATGCAGATCAACTATTATACTGACGTTTGCGAATTTTAAAAGCATTTTAATTAAAGTTTGTCGTCGTGTATACGTCACGTGTTGAAGACAAATATGTCTGGAATATTTCTGACTGCCGCTATGTAACTTCAAGGTTCTACTGTATGTGAATGTTTCTCAATCAGTCATTCACTGGAAACATAATTTTGTATTGAATTGTCACGTTTCCTGTATTATTTGGCAATTTCCTTCCTGTGGAGACCCGCGAAGATCTAGGCTAAAAATGGTCTTCAGTAACCCATGCTTGTCGTAAGAGGCGACTAACGGGATCGGGTGGTCAGGCTCGCAGACTTGGTTGACACGTCATCGTATCCCAATTGCGTAGATCGATGCTCATGCTGTTGATCTATGGATTGTCTGGTTCAGGCTCGATTATTTACAGACCGCCACCATATAGCTGGACTTCTGCTAGGTGCAGCGTTAAACAACAAAAAACCTCCCTCGCAACATGGTGTTACACGGGAATATTTCTGCACGATATAAATAATAATTGGTTATCAATTTCCTTGTATTTGTATTTTTTGACCGCGGGAAACTTGGCCTTGTTTCCCTGTATGTGGCGAATTAACTTAGTTGAAGTGTTGACAGAGTCCAACGAACCCCAAACAGGGTAGTTAGCAGGCATTTAAACGCCTCTCGATACAATATTACAATTTATCAATCACACTGTGCATGGGTCAGTCCAACTCTTCTTGCAGTGCCTGGCCACGTTCAGCCAACATGTCGGCGCCCTGTGACCTTGACCTTCCCAATGTTCAATGGGGAGATGTCTTAACTCTTTGATGGCTATACCATTCCGTGTTGTGATGCTGAAGGTGAAAATTGATAATTTGTGCACGGCGAGCGCTCCGTTCCTTGTCAGACTTGCCTGTCAAGTAAGTCCAGTCTTAATATAGACTCATCTGAAAACGGGACAAGTGATCAGTTGAGATGTGTACATCCTGGACGACTGCTGACAAAATGATATGGATGCAGCACATTTCGAGTAAGGAGATGCACTATTTCTATGACCCGTAACTCGTACACCAATAGTCTAAGTTTGCTGGAGCTGAAATCCATTTCATAGAGTCGATCGTCAACATTTTGGTTGTGCTGGAACATGTTCTATAGTCTGCTAGCCACAGACTGTGAAACTGTGACTTGTTCCAGCTCCCAGCATGCCAATCGAGGACGCGGCAATCTTTTGTTTATATTCAAAAAATGAATGAACTCACAGCTGAATAATGAGTACAATCATTACGACTGACACAAATAATGTTCCTTGAAAGTATCAATACCACAGACACAGACACAGACACAGACAGACACAGAGAGAGACACAGGCACAGACAGACACAGAGAGAGATACAGGCACAGACAGACACGGACACAGACACAGATACAGACACAGACAGACACAGACAGACACTGACACTGACAGACACAGACAGACACAGACACAGACAGACACGGACAGACACAGACACAGACAGACACTGACACAGACAGACACAGACACAGACAGACAGGCAAAGACACAGACACAGACAGACACAGGCACAGACAGACACAGAGAGACACAGAAACAGACTCAGCCAGACACAGCCACAGGCACAGACAGACACAGGCACAGACAGACACAGACACTGACGGACACAGACAGACACATGCACAGACACAGACAGACACAGACACAGACACACACAGACACAGGCACACGCACATGGACACAGGTACGGAGACAAATGTATAAACAAAAACACAGAAACAGACATAGGCAGAGACACAGGCAAAAGCAGGCAGAGGCAGAAACACAGGCATAAAGACAGGTACAGACACAGATATAGGAACAAGCACAGACACAGACAGACACATTCACGGACACAGACACACCCACCTTTGAAAGACACAGACAAACACAAAGGAACAGACACAGACGCACGCAGAGACAGAGACAAAGGCATAAATACAGGCAAAGAGACAGACAGACATACAGACAGTTACAGGTACGAACACCGGCACATTCAGAAACAGGCACATACAAACACACTCATAGACACAGGCAC